CGACAAGACCGACCCGCTCCCATCTTCTCCAGGAACGAGCTCATGGAATTCGGCTTCAAAGCCAAGCTTGTCAAAACCTTCGTCGAAGGCGGAGACAGACCCGAAACCACAGACAAGAACACTGTGCAACAACAAACCGACTAAACGTCGACTATGTATTGTGCTTCCTATATACTGCATTTCTATAATGCCAGTCTTGCCAACCAGCCTTGGCGGCCCGCTCTCGAAATACGGGGTACAATTTTTTTGGGATGCAACGATGACCAAATGAGAACTCCAGTGAGAACTCCAGTGCATTATGCGTATACGGCAAAAGATCTGCTACCCGGCCGAAACGTCCTAGATGATCGAGGCGACAATCGACCACGCGACACACGACACATGCTCGCGAGGGCTGTTCCAACGAGGACTGTTCCGACTCTCGAGGCAGCACAACCAGTCACAGCCGCCAAGCGTTCCAACGGGAGCCAGCACTGCACCGATCACCCGTAACGGGCACACCGATCACCCCCCTTATCTGCGGAGACACTCTTATCTTAACCGCACTTGCTATTTCGATGCGCCCGTGACAACCGTGAGCCTCTCGAAGTGCTAATCGACGGCAGACGAGAGGTTGTCACGGGCACTTAGTACTTCAACAAACCACAGATCAGCGGTGGCGCCCCCTCGAACTCATCATAACCGTAAGTTAGTCATATGCCTCCTCGCCGGCTGCCAAAGACTGGGGTGCCGTCCGTGCGTGCTCTTGCTAACCATCCAGTTCATCGAAGATCACGGTTAACTCTACACGGCCTACGTGCGCCATCAAAATCATCTCGACACCCAACGTACTCGACATTCCCAACAACGGCAACTACCAGTAGGATGTCCACTCCACGGCTGGGGCAGGGGCTTACTTCTTTCGCGTACTCGAAGCTCGCATGGCATCCCGCCAACGACACGGTCCTGCCTCAACCGCTTATAGTCTATTAGCCACTCCCCACTTCTTCTTGAGAAAGTGCGGGGCGGCGGCCCGCTAGCTCTTCGAAGGTCTGATGACGCCTAGCTCAAGCCACTTCCTAACATGCTTCTCAAGCTTTTCACGCATTTCTGGCTTGTGATGCCGTACTCCCGCCCTGAACGGCCTGCCGTGAACTGTGAACCGAACTGGGTACTTGACTACCTTGGGCTCCTCCCAGGTGTCGCGATATCGTCCCAGCAAGCTCCACAGCTTCCACTGACACTCTGGCTCCATGTGGGTGGTCTCTTCGTCCAAGACCTTCCTTTGGCTCTTGTAGTGCGTCTCAACAGCTACGGCGCGGTGGTGCTGACTGCTGGGCTTCCCTAGCAGCGCGGTTCCGCGAACCTCAGCTCCTCCAAGTAGACTGTTTGCGTGCAGAGGATATGGCGTTTCGTGGGTACTCGTTCAGTTGCGGGTTCGCACTTAATCAGGTCAACATCTGGTGCACCCAGTAGGTTGGGAGTCCTGCACATCATTGCGAAGATGATCAGCTTCGTGTTGCTCCCAACGGTCGTCGTCGCTCCGCCATTGCTCCGTCGTGGTAAGACCAGGTATCGTGGGCTGAGACGAAAGTACTAGGGATGGATCGAGGGCACTTGAGTGGGACAATGACAATATTGTCAAAGCGCGAAATGCACGGGGAGCGTATGCTCACGCTGTTGAATCGCATTGCTGGCCGGTGAGGTGGCCACGAGGAGTATGGGCCAAGAGACAGATTAAGTCGGTAGCTGGTTGCGAACGGTATAATTGACTGGGCGATGAAGCGCAGGGCCGTGTCGTTCGCGGGATGCCGTGCGAGCTTCGAATGTTCCATAATTCTTCCCGCCACTGGGGGTGAACTGTTAGGCATAGGTTTGTTCGACTCTCCGCCACTGTGTCCCAAAAGACGCTCGGACTGAGACTAACTCAAACGCGAAACAGCACTGGCGATTCTCCCGTTCCAGGAGAATCATCGGCAGTGCCTTCTTTACGCGAGGTACCGGTCTCGCGGCATTTCAGGAACACGGGGATTACATATCGGGACAGTTTTTTTTCATCATCCTGTTCCTTAAGCTGGTCCAGTCGACGGAGTCGCCGGTGGCGGTCGTACCGGCACAGCAGATCCCACAGGGCCCGATGCTCTTATGAAACTGGTATTCCTTTGTCGTGATCACAGACCATAAGACTCTGGCTGCACTAAACATCACGGAGCAATGGAAGCTAATGCGATGGATGATGAAGCTCTGCGAGTACGATGTGCAGTTTCAATACGTGGAGGGCAATTCCAGCCTTGTGGCGCGACTGGCTCAGTCGACTCCATCCCGATCGTGACCGCACTCGATCATGACCGCACTCGCGAACCGGGGCCGCCTATATCCCAGAACCGGGCCGAAAGGCAGCGCTGAACCTTCTACATGGGTGTGCCCACGCTATATCAGGACCTACGAGTTCACATTTACAGCTGCATCATATGCAAGATTCACCGACCCCACCCACATAGCGAGCATCATGAGAGGACTCTGAAACGAGTGGTACTCGGAGAGCTGATTAGCCTTGATTTCGACCTAGGTCATAGCGGAAATGGATTAAACGAGAAGTCGGGATGCTTTGTCTGCCCGGATATTTTGGTCATGCCAGGGGCCATAAAACTAGATTAATGCAGAGAATGGGAGAGGCTAGTTGAGGAGTAATCCCGGTTTGATGGGGAGTACTCGATCGGATTTCTCTCTATCTGACGGGGATCATGAATGAAAGCAGCAATACGTCGGAGCTTCAGTACCCGGGGGCAATACATATGGTACTTTACATATGATGCGGGTGCGATGGAGTTACCATTTTGGTGGCATTGAAGAGACGATTAGTATCCATAGGATTCCCCCACAGGTGTCGGTACCGTGAATGGGCACGCAAATTAAATAAATACTGGAAATTTCACGAAAATCTAATGGCACGAGCAGTGCTTGCTAAGAAGCATGTGGGAAGAGGGTTGAAGTTAGTTGCGATTATCGCCGCCGTGGCGGTGAACCCAGGAGTGCCTGATGCCAAACCGGTGAGCAATATGGACGAGAATATAGCGGTACCTGAGCGGGCGGTAATACCCCAAGAAACGAATATCCAAAAGTTGATTGACGGCCTGAAGGCAGTGGATGAGAAAGACTGGACTGAGTCACAGAAGCTGTTGTCTCAGAGGATCGGTCGTGAGAGGCTTGAAGGCATCTCACAAATGAATGAGCAGGGTCGGAATTTCTTCCGGAATGCTTGCATTGTGGAGGACCCATGGAAGGCAGAGGCTATGGACCGGAATGTTATGGTTTTGCCCGTCAGAAGTGAGGACAAGGGTAGTTACTTACAAGCTTTCCATATAAAACCGGAAATTATGGATCGTCTTCGTTCCTGGTTATTGGGCATTAGTAACGAGCATATCCGTGGTGCTTTCCCGGATAGAGCGGAGGAACTTATCTTGATGAAGACTACCTCGCCCAA